GAAGCGCCGACAGCGAGAGACTGTTTAGTGCTGCATCATGTCTCCGATGAGATGAAGAGGTGGCTGATGCTGGTGGTTAGGCTACTGTATGATGATTGAAATCACCTCAAACGATTAGTAAATAAACTGCAGAATGTTATATTTTCTAATGCACGCACGAATTGCATGTATTCTGACAGCGCTGCACGAGCTGGCGGCGCCAAGGTTCAAAGTCGAAAGCTCGAGGAAAATCTGTGCTGAAACTGTGTTACTCGTCAGTTGCTCAGTAACATTTTTGTTATTTTTTTTAAAGGCATGTGACAGTGTGATACGTGCTACAAACATCTTCCCAAATTCGTAATGAGAATCATTTCTAAAGCTGCATGCTGTTGTCAACAAAAAGAAGCACTGAGATCTTCCTGCGGGTTTCTGCCAAAATAAAAGCAGAGAAAAAGCAACAACTTTTTCAACATCAGTATATCAACAATCAACATTCATAAATAATAGTATCGTAATTTTACTGTTGTTCTGTAAAATAAAATAAAAAAGTAAGACAATAATAATAATAATTACCCTACAACAGCTCTATTAATACATTTTTTATAACATTCAGTGTTCAAATTGGGATCTGTAATATATTCTAATGTTTTAAAAGAATCCTCTTCTGCTCAGCAAGGCTGCCTTTATTTGTACAGTAAAAAATACATGCCTGATTCAAGTCTCAAAAATAGCCAAAAAAATATTAGTCTATTTTACTAACTTATTAATTTTAGGTTAAATTTTGCTTTGATGGTATAATGTCTACTAGAATGTTAAAAAAAATTTCAGTCAGTGTTAAGTAAATATTTTTAAATTGTTGTTTTGTAATTGATTTTTTATTTGAAAAGCAGTAAAAAGCAAATTTTGGCTATTTAAATTAGGCAATGGTGAAAGCAAAATGGGGGGAAAAATGCGAAAAACCATGTTTGGTATTCGGTCTTCGGCCTTCGGCCCAGTGTTTCATTTTGATCAGCTTCGGCCAAGAATTTTCATTTCTAATAAAAATACTTACTTTACAAATAAAATATGGCACGAACTACAAGGCAAGGTTTTATCACAATTATGAGTGCAATATTAAATAAATCCAATAAAGTGCTGTGTCAATGTAACTGTATTAGCTCTTGTTTGGTGTGAAACGTGACATGATTGGGGATGAACTTAAACACTATGATGAATTTCACACAAATTCAACATCATTGATTATGTAGACATAGTTGTTTTTGTCACAGATTGCACGAAAGCAGTGCACTTACAGAGACAAACTGCCCATACACTCTTTTGATTGGCTGTGATTTTGATTGATTAGTTGCATAGTGGAGACAAATTGTTTGTCACTGGAAGTACTTTCAGTTAGGACATGGAGTTGCACTGATTTTAAGTTCACATAATCCAATAACTCATGAACTCACTGCTTCTTTTTGGATGATTCATTAAAAAGGACCAAATCATTAACTTTTGTTCAATAATGAATTAAATTGCACTGGTCAAGCTGTTCCAACCCAACTCAGAAATACCATATATTTTTTTTCTGATTTCGAAATTTCAGATGATTCATGGGGTTTTCTAACAAATGTCCAAGGTTTTACTGTGGTAAGGGTGTACAAAGCCAGGCATCTTGGAAAATTGTGCCATTTCAGTGAACACACTAGACACTAGAAAGTGAGATTAGAGTACAGTGATTTAACGGGGAATGAAGTCTACATACTAGGATATGTTGAGTATTGAAATGTAATTTAGTTTTATTGGTGATTATTAAATGAACTGACATCAGAATTATAATGTTGATTTTAATGCATTATTCTCTTTACCAAAAATGTCAACATTGAGACTTAAATAGTTTAATATATATATACAGTGGGTACGGAAAGTATTCAGACCCCCTTAAATTTTTCACTCATTTATATTGCAGCCATTTGCTAAAATCATTTCAGTAAAAAAAATTTCCTCATTAATGTACACACAGCACCTTATATTGACAGAAAAACACAGAATTGTTGACATTTTTGAAGATTTATTAAAAAAGAAAAACTGAAATATGTTGTTTGACTTATTTTTCCAAATAATTTTTTTTAATTGGATTGTGGACTTTTGTAAATATGTTTTCCTTGAAAAAACAGGGGACTTTTTTTTATGTGTCATCAAAGACGGAAAGTGCAAGACTCCCTCGGTTGTGTGCAGCGAAGAGCGTAACGAGTCACATGACCCCTCCTCTGTTTGGTGCGAGTAGTCAGTGAGAGTCAGCTGTGTGTGGGATGGCCGAAGGAGGTGAATCCCTGGAACTTTTTCCACCGTCGAAAAAGATGAAGTCTGCCGTATGGGAATTTTTCGGGTAATGTAGACTAACCATGTTCCATACACGATGTTCCGTACAGATGACGTTTTAGGGCTGATCGCTAAATAAATACTTCCAGGTCGTTCATAATCTATATATCTGTGTCATCTTAATTTCTCCCTCTTTCACCCCCGATCAAGACAGAGACCCACCCGCCATTTGTTTCAGTGTTGAAATAAATACTATTTGGCTTGCTACCGAGGCAGATAACATGGTTAATTAACTAGCTAACGTCAACTAGTTTGCTCCCTCACGTTAACGTTACTTCACAGAGCGAGGAATAGCAGACTAAAGTACTACGTTTCTGCGATTTAGTATAATTAAATTGAGCTGGTATCACGTCTATACTTTTAAGCTTCCTGCCATTGTTTACATCCGTTCAAAATCACGACATTTAAAAAACAAACAAACTGCTGGCTCTCAGGTGTCTTTGCCACTTTTTGGAGATGCAATGCATTTTTCTTCCTTAAAAATAGCTTTATATCCTAATTTTATTATTTGAGCAAATCTTAACCAGCCACTTGATTAGGTTAGTAGTTTTACAGTGCATAAAAACAGCCTGAATCAATTTCTAGTACTTTTGTATAGTAAAGGTGAAACACAGATATGAATATGATGATTGTCAAATAACAAATAGCCTGAAATTGTAATAGAGTTAGTTGTGAATTAATGTTGAAAAGTTTGTGCTCATATGGTAGTAAAGGGCAAATGTTCAGTGTTAAGATGTTTGATTATTATTTTTGTATTTTTTTTTAAATGGGTAAATTAGATAACCAAGAACATACAGTGATCATCTGTAATATGATTCTTGTCAACAGCAATATTTGTTGGGGTTAATATTTATTAATTTTAGTTTCTCTGCTTGGACTGACCTGTCTTTTCTTATGTTGTGATTTCTCATATTATACCCTCACCCTATATATTCTCACTTCACTCCCTATACCTCATTTGGCTGTTTGCACTCTGTAGAAAAGTTGCGCTTGAGATGTTTAAGTTTGCTTCAGCCCTTAATTAGAGCTGGACAAGCCACAACGTTTGCACAGGATGTCAGCCAAATGAATGTGAAATTGGCAGCATCTTTTCAAAATTGTGGTCATGTGTTGGCCTGTTGCAGAAAGCACACTCTTATCTTGTTCCTTTTCCTTAACATTTTTTTTCTGGTGTACAAATCAAAGGTGGGTTTTAGAGCTGCACGATTAATCGAATGCGATTGTCATGCACATCTTGTCAGTAAAACTGGTTCTGTAATCAGTAGTAAATCTCCCATCACCTGCTTTCAGATAGAGCAGCATTTAATACACAGAGCCGTAGTTCTCTGACAAGCTATGCGGAAAAAATTGCAGACGATATAATCGCACGATTATGAAATCGAAGAAATTGTTCGCGATAATGACAGCTGTTTGCGTAGCTTCTCCGTGAACTACGGCTCTGTGTAGTAAATGCTGCTCCATCTGAAAGCACGTGAAAATACCACATTTAATAACATGTTTTTACTCCAAACTCACTTCATTATGTACAGCCGAGTGTTTGAAATAAATCCTTCTGTGAGATGATGTGGCTTCTTACACAGAATAAGGCACATAATATTTCATAGTATTCTAAACAGTGATAAAGGCTATGTTGATTAGCATTGCATTATATAATGAAAATTATAATAATAAGAACTCAGATAAACTATATATTGCCGTAGTCGAGTGTTTAGTCACGCTGAATCAATGAAAACAGTTAAATCTTCTGTTTATTCAGCAACCGCTAAATGGATTTCCTGGGTTCTTCTGTGGGGTGTGTTTGGAGTTTCAGCGCGAGAGCGCCCTCTGGCCTTCGGATGGGGATTTACTACTAATCACAGAACCGTGCTTCACTGAAAGATACGCATGACAATCGCAGCTTCTGTCTAATTGCAATTTCATTTTGATTTATCGTGCAGCCCTAGTGGGTTTGACCCTAGAGTAAAGTGTAAATAATTGAATTACATTAGTACCACAACTTGTGACTCAAAAACAGGTTTGCTTTACTTCATGCAAGTCCATGTATTTCCTCAATTGGATATTTATTGAAAATAGAGAATCTATGCAAGCACAGATGATACTGTGCCTTTGTTGTCTCTTTTTCCCCCCACACAGTAATGCTCATTTTGAAATAACCGTTGCCTAGAGACCCTGATTAATGGAAACCGATATGAAAAGGTCATTTGAACCTGTGAGCAGTTAGTTGTTTCCCTTTACAGCATTTATGGAAGGAGGGTTGGAGGGAGGAACGCAACCTTCTGCTGCAGTGTCATTATCTTGGCCTGTCATTGGCTGCTCAAGGCAGCCTGCTGTTTGCTGCTGTAGCATAGGGTCAAAGGTCAAGTATGATGTCAGCCTTATGATGCAAGCCAGTGCACGCAGTAGGACAAGTTGTTTACACTTAGTTAGTGGACACCTGTGATGTTACACAAACTTAGGAAAACGCCTCTATAGACATTAGTCATTTTGTAAGTTAATATTGAATAGAGACCAGGGATTTCACATTTTCAGGAATTTGAAAGGTACTGACTGATCAGTTATGATGTCCGTGTTTCTTTGAAAATGTTAAAATCTTACAAATTGTCATTTTATTGGTTGAAAGTGTAACATGATCTGTATCTGGTTTTCTTGTGTTCACAGGTATGGCCTCACAAGTCTTGGTCTATCCACTACATGTTTTTCAAACTCAGACAAGTGCCTTTTGTAGTGTGAAGAAACTCAAAGTTGAGCCCAGTAACTGTGTTTACCATGAGAGGGCCTACCCACAGACTTACTTGAATGGTAGAACCCTTGGCGTTGCTTACCCGTCAAAAATCACCGCTTCGTTTAAGACACAAGATTCTGTAATCGGCAGACATCGCGGGCAGGAGTTACCATTGCAAACGGCTGCTGTACGCGGTGTGCGACGTCAGCATACCACCACAGCGGCACAGCAGCAAAAAGGGGGTGTCGCCTCTCAGGATAAGGAGCCGGAGCACCAGGAAAAAGGAAAGGGTTGCAGCAGTGGAGCTACAGGGGCAGTTGGAAGGGGTAGGGGAGAGGGAAGCGACAGTCAAGGAGGAGGAGGTGGAGGACAGGGTGAAGGTGACGGAGGTGGTGGAGGAGAGGACGAGGGTGACCGGGAAGACTGTGGAGTTTTTAACTTGCAAGACAGCTCCCACAGATGTGGGCTGAAACGTAAGAGCGGGGAGCTGGAGAACTTGGGGAGCGCCATGCAGATTGTAGAGGACCGGTCAATGTTACCTGCAATGTTGCAATCAAATTTGGGAAACCCACCAGTTGCGGTCCCAGCGGCAGTCGGTGTAGGACCTGCAAAGCAAGGTGGAAATTCCGGAAACGGGGATGGAGATTACCAGTTGGTGCAGCATGAGTTGCTTTGCTCTTTGAAGAACACCTACGAGGTCTTAGACTTCCTCGGCCGTGGTACTTTCGGCCAAGTGGTGAAATGCTGGAAACGAGGCACCAATGAGATTGTGGCAGTGAAGATCCTGAAGAATCATCCATCATATGCACGACAGGGCCAGATTGAAGTAGGCATCCTGGCACGCCTCAGCAGCGAGAATGCAGATGAGCATAATCTGGTGCGAGCTTTCGAGTGTTTCCAGCACCGCAGCCACACCTGCCTCGTGTTTGAGATGCTGGAGCAAAACCTGTATGACTTCCTCAAGCAGAACAAATTCAGCCCGCTACCTCTGAAGGTGATCCGTCCCATTCTTCAGCAGGTAGCCATGGCGCTAAAAAAGCTAAAGGGCATGGGACTGATCCACGCAGACCTGAAGCCTGAGAACATCATGCTGGTGGACCCTGTACGGCAACCCTACCGTGTGAAAGTCATAGACTTTGGCTCAGCCAGTCACGTCTCCAAAGCCGTCTGCTCGACGTACCTCCAGTCGCGGTACTACAGGTATGTACAAACTAAAGACTGAGTTGATTGTCACTTTAAATTGGTTTTGATTAGAGGTTGACCGATTGATCGGTTTTGCCGATTAATCGGCACCGATAGTCACTTGCTAGTTTTTCCGGGTTGCGTCCATTGCTGGAGCTGCTGAGGGTCTGCTATTATTTTAATGTATGAGAGCGCCCTCTAGAGGAGAATCTCTGGTGCCTCGTGCTGTTTGTTTTAACATGTGAGGCTGCGCGCCGCACAGAGCAGGATACTGCAAATGCGGCTTTAAAACGGAGACAACGAAACCGTACGTATACAGTACACTACATGTTTTCATATCATTATGAAGTAATGAATTTGTTGACTAGATGCTGCATTAGTGAATAACAGCAGTATGTTTGCCGACAAGGCTGAGAGGACGCAAACATTATTAGTACCTCAAGCGATTAAAGTGTGACCAAAACACATGCAAATCTGACCCAAATATTTAATGTCACGATCGTTATCATCTATTTGCATTAGTTTATGTCCAACTGGTCACTTTAATGCATTTGTTAGCCAGTGAAGTTGCATATTTAAATCTAGTGAAGTGATAAAGCAAAGTGATATGTTCATGCATCCGACAAAAACCTGCCATGCCACTCATATAGTTTTCCATTCAATTACATTATATTTGTCCCACATCATTGTTGATGTGCATAATGACTTCACCCTATGCTAAAATATTGCATTTTTAAGTGAAACGTTTGTCTTTTTTTGGCTCTAAAAAAGGCTGTATGCTTCATATAGAAAGCTGTAAATATTGATTATTAATTGTACTTGCTTATGTTTTGTTTGCTATGAATGCTGAGGTTAAATGGGTGCACTCTTGAGTTCAGCAGAGTTGTTTTGTTTGGTTGTTGATCAGTATTTTGTGCAAAAAATACTCTTAAAGGAACATGACACTACTTTTGAAAATAGACTAATTTTTCAAGTCCCCTAGAGTTAAACAGTTGAGTTTTACTGTTTTCGAATCCATTCAGCCGATCTCCGGGTCTGGCGGTAGCACTTTTAGCTGCAGCTTAGCACAGATCATTGAATCTGATTAGACCGTTAGCTTCTCGCTCAAAAATTACCAAAGAGTTTCGATATTACCTAGTTGGGGACAATTTTCAGGTGCTGCGTAATATCATTATGCCGGAATGAGAGTATAGTTCCTAGCCATATCGGCCTAGAAAATCGCAACTTTTTTCTTAGTTCACGATGCAACTACAGAAGAGTCAAGTTTTAAATGGGAAAAACATCAAAACTCTTTGGTAATTTTTGAACGTGATGCTAACGGTCTAATCAGATTCAATGATCTCTGCTAAGCTGCAGCTAAAAGTGCTACCACCAGACCCGGAGATCGGCTGAATGGATTCGAAAATGGTAAAACTCAGCTGTTTAACTCTAGGGGAGTTGGACAATGAGCCCAAAAATAGTGGCATGTTCCTTTAAGCACATAATTCCTTCTCACTAATTGATCACTGAAAACATTCTAAAATCTATCTGTATATGTTATACAACTAAAATCCTTGTGGAATTACCAGTCAGGAAACACTGCTGATGTAAAACAATTTCCCTTGTGTTCAAAATCTACACTGACCCTGTAGAAGTATTTGACCCCACAATGCAACAGGCAGGGGCTAAACCATTTTTGTCACATTGCCATGGGAAAGGAAGTGATTTTTTTGAAAAAGTACTTTGTACAATAGGCTAAGAACAAGTGGTAATGGGTGAGTTTTTAGAGAACAGTTGCATATAAAATGAAATAAATTTTGAATGCAGGAAACTTTTGTAAATATAGTGTTGTTATCAGTTTGGATGTTGAAATGGTAACTTAAGTTTGTTTATTTTTGTTGAAGTATTATCATGCTCCATCTTATTTCCTGAATGCATCAAAGGAAATGCCTTGAATGTCACCTTGATAGAGTGCCAAAATTAAAAATGTAGACAAAGAAATAACTGACATTTACTTTTGTACAGTTCTGTTTGAAATCATGCCTGTGATGGGTAACAAATCTGCTATAATAATGTGGGTAACCTTGATCTCCTGTTAAGGTCTGGTAACAAACCCCCATCCATCTGTTTGTTTCTTCACTCCAACTATCTTTTGTTTCATGCAAAGAATACATGCTGGCATGTTCATATAGAGTTTTAAAGTATTGATTACTAGGAGTACATTTAGCAAATAGTGTCCATATATCATCTCTAAATAAAACATGGTTGCAATTTGATTAAGTCCAAAAGGAGATATCGTAACTAGTGATTCATTCGTCACACTGAAAAGGGTCAGGCATTGTGGGACACATTTCATGCCCTGAGTTCTAGTTGAATTGCACATTTCGACAAATATAGTAGGTCATCCAGATACTCCATGTATACAAACAATTTATATACTCTGCACAGTGCATGCTACTGAAATGTGCAATGTAGTATAATATTCTGAATAGCTGTTATATGCAAATTTTAAAGTTAGTGTTCTTAATGCTTGTAAGTATGAATTAATTTTATAAGCACTACAGTTATGGTAGCAAAAAAAAATGATTTGGGGAGGTTTCTGAAATTTGGTTGATTTGACGCAGAATGACCCAATTGTAAACATGATTTAATAGTAGCATGACTAATGGAAATGTTTTTGAACTGTTATAGCATCTACAGGTGCTGTATTCTGCTATCTAGGTGTAGGTTGTGTCATCTTTGGAATCTTATTTTCAGCCATGTCTCTAAGTAAGTGAAACATGCCCATGCTACTAGAAATCATGTCCATCTCAGATTTCAGAGTACACTAGTTGGGTGGGGGGTACCAAAACTACCAAAAGTAATTTTGGTAGCTATAGTTCCCAGAATTTTTGTAAAAAACATAAAAACTATAAACACATACAATTCATTTACTGAACAAACTGAAACTTTTACAGTATAAAACTGTAATTTACAATCAAGAAAATATGAATGTAAACCAGTAAATTCAGCAATGTTCACTACTACTAAAATCTGTTCTGTGCCTTTAAAGTTTGCCAAGTATGGCCACATGTCACGAATATCTTTAACATATAATGACAACCATCTAGGGCTGGGCGATATAGCTAAACAAATGCATCAACGATATAGTGTTTCATATCATTCGGTATCGATAATTATTGACTTTTTTTTTTATAACCTTTTTTTAAAACAAAGAGCAATAGGAAAATTTTTTTTTAATGTAACCACTGTATTTTTTAATTAATCCAATTTATTGAGACAAACAACAAATATTTTTTTTGTTTTACAGTCAAACACAAAATAAAAATTAAACGAATATCTAATTTCTAATGTTTTATATGCAGATTAAGTAGGTCTGAAGGAAACTTTTGGATTGTCTCCCGAAGCCACAGGAGGGCGCAATGAGCAAAATAATGCAGCGCATTAAATTGCCAACGCAAAGGAAATAATTGTCTATAAAAAGAAAAACGTGCAGTATGTCTAAATTAAATAAATCAAACATAATTTTGTAAATTGTATAAACAATTATGAACAAAACAGCATTATGTATTTATGCATTGCTTAAAGGGGTCATATGATGCTGCTAAAAAGAATATTATTTTGTGTATTTGGTGTAATGAAATGTTTATGCGGTTTAAGGTTCAAAAAACACATTACCACATACTGTACATTATTGTTTCTCCTCTATGCCCCGCCTTTCTGAAACACGTCGATTTTTACAAAGCTCATCGGTCTGAAAAAGCAAGGTGTGCTCTGATTGGCCAGCTATCCAGTGCATTGTGATTGGCTGAATTCCTCAAGCGTGTGACGGAAATGTTACGTCCCTTACCATATTGTGATACCTGCGGCAACCACATGTGACGACCCCGTGCTGGACTCCGCTTCATCCACGGTGAAAGCTGATCCGGCGATCGACAGCGCGAAGTTGAAGTATTTCCTCAGCGACCAGCACAGATCAGCTCCAGGTATAACGAAGTGATATTACAAATAGCCAAATCGCCCATCACACAGATTGCCTTTAAAAACATATGAGATGGAGTGAAACGGAATAAACCTCCACAAATTTGTAACGCGTTTTCTAAAAGTTTAAACTGTTTTAACTTTGCATGGATTTCTATACATCTCTTGTGTGAGACGTGAGAGCAGCAGTCATATTTGTCTGTCTAAAAATGCGCTGAATATGCGTTCTGTGTGAATGGCTTGGTTTCGGTTTTAACCTAATCAAGATCTTCTTCGCATTGAGCTACTATATTTTTAATAACGCAGAAACTGCTCGTCTTATGGGCTAGACTTATAAAACATTAAAATGCAACAACATCACTTACATCATCACCGCATCTCGCGCTGCACTAATGACGCTCCCAGATGCACACCTAACATTTGATTGTACTATTTTTGCATTCAAATGCAAATGTTTATTTTAAATTCAACTAATATTCTTTTTTTTAAATTCACAATCTCCTCATCACAGGCAGGCACAGCACTCAATTCAGCATGTGTTCGTGTTTGTGTGTGTGTGGTCTGCGTCACTCATAGCACGTGCCTATATCGTGCGCTATATCGAACATTTTTTCTATCGTTATCGAAGAGGGTGTATGTCGATAAATATCGATACCATTTTATCACCCAGGCCTACAACCATCATAATAATGCAGGTGGGAAAGGAGAATACCTCATGAAGAATCAAAGTTCATTACAAGCAGCTTTTCCACAAGCCGAAGTATATACTAATTTACAAGGTGCACAGATCCATTCAAGCAAACACAAAACACTATCATGGTAACACACAACACTTCAATGATGCAATAAACATTCATTAAACAACTGCAACATATATGCAACATAAAACCCTAATGTACAAAATGATAACAAAAACTATCAAGAAACATGATTATTTAAACAAAATTCTATCAAATGTGGAGTGTAATGCAGTGAACTGTGGGAATACCAGTTTACAGTTTTTGACTGTAAATTATACGTTGATTTGTTCTTTTTTACTTCTAAAAACTGTAAAGTTAACAGAATTGTACTGTAAAATACACATTTTTTATAAAATATAAAATACACAACCTCTAAGCCCAAACCTGCCCATGTCACATGAAAGTGATCCATGCTCACCCCCGTTTTTGCTGCTCTAGGGAGAGTTCTCTCAAACTCACAGCGGGGGCTGAGCACTGGAGACCGCTGCCTAAAATTAGCTGATGGGAGGACGGCCAACTCAGTTTGACTTCTAAAGATGGTGAAGTGTGCTGGCAGTCAAAGTGAAATAAGGCAGTGCAAAATACTACAGATCACTTTAGCACTCAGTCAAGGTCACTGTCTTCCAGCGTCAGCTGTTTTGTTACTTTTAGAAGTGGGAATATAGATAGACAGGAATTTTATGAAAATAGCAAGCAATCAAATTAATTTGTCTGCAGTTTAAATGCTTATGATAATAAGAATAAAAAAAAAAAAAAGTGGCTAATATTATCATTTAGACATGACGTATCATTCCTTTAATGTTAAGTGGTGAACAACATGAATGAACATGGACTTGGTATCTTTCTGACCCTGCTCTGTTTGAGTTGGAAACTTTGCCTCATCAATCATTTAACTGCTAACGTTGGCAACATCGCAAACAAGGGCAATCAAATTCTGTCCTGTAAGAGGAACAAGTATATTGTCTTTATATTCTTCGTTCACTGTCATTTCATTTATATTTTATATGAAGGGTCTTATTTCTCCTGACACCATCTGCTCCCCTTTCTCTATGGCTTTGAACAGGTTTTTAAATTTCTCTAAATGTCTGATCAAGTATAACCAATCTTGTGCATTTGAACTTTGTGCATGTGAGTAACTTTAAAAAAAAAAAGGCAGAAAAAAAAAACATTCCAGACTTACCAATCACAGTGTAGTATATCAAGGATTCTTGGTCTTGTTGTCAAGGCCTGTTTGAGATGTTATCAAAGATCAGCTCTCACCAAGGACAGAGGCAAAATGTAGCATTGTTTCTGTTTAAGCAACTATATAATATATATATATATATATATATATATAACTCTGTTAGCACAAGCTTGTACAGCTGTTATTAATACTTCAATAACACAAATGGCCTATAAGAATCACTGGACCATGGGGCTGCTGTGTTTGAAAGTGAGGGATAGATATGAAGAAAATAATAATTGGTGGATTGCAAGACTATGGGCGGTGAACCATGGTCCCTCTAGGGGGGTCGGGTACTTGCCTTCTGGAAGAAAGAAAGATTTGAAAGCAAAATTAAGACATCCAAACCCATTTCAGGGACCGGATTGAAAAAAAGTAAAAAGTCTTTACATTGGCCATAATTTGCTTGTACCATAATTTTAAAGTGGATTCAAAGCCTCTCCTTAATTGTGTTAGTGTCTCTATCCATATTACATTAATGTTGTTATTGTTATTATCATACCGAAAACAGTAATGTTACTGTTGAAATCCAACTGCACTGTAAAATAAATGTAAATGAAACATGTATATTTCGTTTATAATACTATAATACTATAATAATTTCGTCTTCATTTCGTCATTATTTTGGTGGAAAACTGCAGTTTCTGTGAAAACAGATGCACAAATGAGCAATATCATACGAGTAGCCATGAGATATGGCTGTATATCGACACGGCTGTGATTCGGCCGTAGGCATGAGGCAGAGTGCTGTAGGTAATCACAGCATGCCGATTACGGCTACTCATGTGATATTGCATTTATACAGCAGTTCAACATCACAAGTGTGTAAATACATAAGAAACGACAACGGTGTGTCTAAAAACCCTCTTTCTCAAGTTGACAGTTTAACAGCCGAGCCCAAGCCTCTGTTACTAATTCGAAAACATCACTTTAGATGTTTAGTAATGAAGGAACGTTGAATTGCTTCATTAAAAGCTTATTGTATTGCTGTATTAAAAGCTGTGTATTATGTAGAGTATTATGTGAAAGATATGGTCTGAGCGAGTGTGATTACCTGCGTCTGATACAGCATTCATTCTTCAGCAATCAATCTCATATTCACAATAAAACATTAGTTTTAATGTCCGCTGAGGAAAGCAAAATATTTGTCGTACTATCCTTTCATCTGTTAAGGGTGATTTCTGATGACAGTGCTGCTCACTGCATTTGTTTGGGGAGTTAGTGTATTTTTGTAGACATATATTTTTAAACTACAATCATCCAACCTAAATGTTTCGTCACCCAGCGTATTTGTGTTTTACAATTTATAATGTTGTTGATCTTGTGAGGAAGATACTTTCAAACTCTGAATTGAATTTATTTATTTTATTACTTACTGTTTATGAAGTAAACAGTAAGTAATAAAATAAGAAAAGATTAATGACAAATGCACAAACATATTACATGAATTCTCATCAAGACGGGCACTTTGACATTTTTGTATGTATTTGGCCGTTTACGCGCAATAAGGCATGTGCTCTCAGATGCGTCTCTATGTGTGCGCGCTTTGGGTGTGAGGCGGCTCATAGAAAGGGTCTCACAGTCACAGAGTGCGCAAGTACTGAATTGAGCACTTGAATGTTTAAAATTGTAAGACTCAAAAGCACTTGCAAATGATACATTCCGTCATCTGTCGCATTGAAATATTTAAATATTTCCCCCATTACAAGTGCGGAAAATGCGGGAATCAGTAGAATTATGCACAATCCCGTGCCAAAATTCAAGCCCTGAACAATGTTAAAGGGATGAATTTGACCATTTGTTTTTGGGAATCACAACAAAAGGGGGTTTGATGTTGTTAAATGTTTCAGTCATTCATCTAATAGTATTAAATATTATAGCCTGTTTAACTATTTATGTAAATAGGTTAAAATTAGAATTTATTCTGCTTTATAAGAGAGTGGACATTTTATAATATTTATATTTTGCATAGAATGGTGTTTTAAATTTGAAAGATAATTTTCCGTTTTTGCTCGGACTACTACTTGTCTCTTCACTCAGCTTAACTTGTTTGGCCTCTACTAACTCGACTGGGAACAGTCTGCAACATTTTATTAAATTTACTTGGAGTGTCCTTTAATTCAGCATACTGTAAGTAAACCAGATGTTAGGACTTTATGGGAATCCCTCCCACGAGGTCTCAGAGAGGAATTCACCCCCCCATTCTGGGATTCTTTATTAGTCTTTGTTTAGTTGCACTTCCCAGAAGTGGTCTCAAAAGAGAACTATGATGTGACTCAGAAATATCCGGCTTATTTTCCTTCATCACTGTTTCATGTGGTATTCTAAAACAAATGAATTATAATAAGTTTCAATAAGTTCAATCTTAAGGAAGGACCCCCACTTCAGATTGCCTTTCTGTGATTAAGGTGTTTTCTGTCTGTTCACTTGATCTGAGCAGGTTTCCTCAGTTTGCGTATGGAGTTCATGTTGGACAAGTGTTATGTTCAGCTGTTTGCTGACAGAAGGCCATGCTGGAGACATGAAGGGAATGTTTGTCACTTACCTTGTCTCAAATATCGAAGCCCTTGTTTACCACAAGAGTACTGTTTTACTTGGATTTGCTCAGATGCAGTAGATCTGGATTTGGTTTGATTTTCAAGATATGATTAATCTCCAGGTGTTTTTAGATATGTTATTGCCTTTGTTTGTTTTTCTTAATCTTAATGTATGAAAATCCCTGCCTGCTTTCTGGAAACTTTATAGATCTACAATCTTGAGGATGTCTTGTTTAGGAATGTCTTTTCTGTACACTTGCACTGAGTAACTTGGAATTTCCTCCAGTCTCTGCAGAATGTTTTCCCGGCAGGACTGCCATCTAGTTCCAACCTGACTGCGACACCGTAATATCAAGCAGTAGGTTTCATTTTGGATTTGTTGTGTGTAATTGCATCACAACATCTTCAAACTTCCAAGGATTTGTTGCGTCGTCTTACTACGTCAATGGTTTTAAGGTTTATACAAGGGTTATACATGTCCATGATGGTGTTTGATGTCAAATCTGATGTTCTTCAGTATCCTCAGGTAATATGGCTCCAGATGAGAGTTCCTATTAACACGCCATTCCTTACTCCTCTAAATATAGTAACATTGCTTTCAAAAGCTTGAGCTTTGTGGAAAGGTAGCCTTGTTCTGTGATAGAGTTTAGGTGTTATGTGGTTGTTAATTTGAGATCCTAAATTTGACCGAGCTTCTCTGGTTGCTTGTTACTGTCATCCTTGGTGACATTGTAAAATTTATTTTTGTTTTTACCAAGAGAAAACTTGACATTAGCACGATCATGAACATTTCCTTGAAGTTTACAGACCTACACAAGGTCAGTGCCACCCAGCTACTTATCAGGGAACACTCTAAAGTAACTCATGGGTGTTTGCTTTCTCAGATTGCGCACCAAGTCCACAATTATGAGAGGGGGACAAAATAACATCGGTGGAGTGAGACCTGTAATCCTCTCTATAAACCAATGACTGCATAATGGGAAGGCTCTTAAACTGGTTTAACTTACTGTTCACTTTTGAAGTATGAGTTCAGACAAAATGAAAATTTCTTAATTTCTTCACCCTCATGCTGTTCCAAAGATGTATAACTTTGTTATGAAGTGGTTTGTTCTGTGTTGATATTCAATTAATATATAATAAATGTTCAATAATAAAAGGTGACTTGACTGGACCACCATCACAACCGTAGGTGTTGTTTGATTACTCATTTATTATTTATTACTCCACTGTTTTATTTATCAGACTACAGTAAATATTCTGGGAACAGACCCACAGGTGTTGTGTAGATATGGTATGGCAGATGCGTGTTTGTGTTCCACTCTTGGGTTAAAGAAAAGGAACCCCGTGAGGCAAGAGGATATTTTTAATGCCAGTGCAAAAATAGTTGGGCACTGATGGCATCATATAAGCCATACTATATTGTAACTGTAAGTGCATGGAGCTGATTTTAAATCAGCATTTGGGTTGAGTTTTCTGTTATGACATGCATGTTATCCAGAGTTATTTCCGGTTTAAACATGCAGTCTCTGTTGCCAACCTATTGATTCTAATTAAAAATGGTGCATTTTTAGAATTTATTAAAAAAAAATCAAATACTACATAACATTTCATGTTTTATTTTATAATATGTTACCATGGCATTTTTGGCTGAGACCCTGGAGCCTGATTGGTTTGTTGGGACAGCAGTTATACGTAGACATTGTATATGGACACATTGTGTTAATTTAAAATGCAGTGTGTGGCCAGTAATGAATAATGTCTTTTGTTAGGTTAATTTATAATTATTGTAGTGTAGGGGTGGGGGATATGGCAAAAATATCATATCAATTTTTTTTTTTAGAAATATCGCGATTAACGATTTTATCATGGTTCTTTGTCATGTTGGTTTTATTATTTTGCAAGTTGTCTGAGCATTACAGCCAAACTAATTTCCCTATTGTAAAGACAAAGTAACAGAATATAAAAAAAGAATGGCCGATATTTAGGCCAAAGTGGGTGACGATAAAAATCTTTGTCATTATTTTATATTTGTTATTAAAAAAAGAACAAAATACACATTACAAATATAAAATAATGTCAAAGATTTTTATCGTCACCCACTTTGACCAGGACAACTAGATGAGCCCCAGATACAGATCCCCTGTAAAGACCTGGTCTCAGACGACCACCGGGACAAGACCACAGGAACCAGATGAGTCCTCTGCACAATGTGACTTTGCTGCAGCCTGGAATTGAACTGCTGGTTTCATCTGGTCAGAGGAGAACTGGCCCCCCAACTGAGCCTGGTTTCTCCCAAGGTTTTTCTCCATTCTGTCACCGATGGAGTTTTGGTTCCTTACCGCTGTCGCCTCTGGCTTGCTTAGTTGGGGACACTTCATTTCCAGCGATATCGTTGACTTGGTTGTAAAGATACTATTTAAACTGAACTGAGCTGGATGATGACATCACTGAATTGAATGATGAACTGTCTTTAACTGAAAAATGAGTGTTTACTATTGTCATTTTGCATTATTGACACACTATTTTCCTAATTAATGCTGTTCAGTTGCTTTGACACAATCTGTATTGTTAAAAGCGCTATATAAATAAAGGTGACTTGACTTGACATTACAAATACACATATTATACAAATAAAACAAACAGTGCTTTATTTTCAGGTACAATAGGTGAATTTAGCAGGAGCATTCAAGAAATTGAATGAACAAATATAAAAAATAAAACACTATATAGATTGATTCCTATTAAAGCAGCTGTATTAAAGTTTTCAGTCAAGAGTAGTGAGTGACTTTCCTCTTTGTGTTTTGTTGTTTTATTAACATTAATGGAATAGTTCACCCAAAAATAAAAAAAATCTGTCATCTTTGTCAAATCTGTCATAGTGTTTTATTTTTATACCATCATTTACTCACTCAAAATTTGTTTTAAACCTGAATGAGTTTTTCTTCTGTTGAACATAAATGCTAATTTGAAGAATGTAGAAAACCAAACAGTTGCTGGTCCCCAGTGACTTCCATAGTATAATGTTTTGTAATGAATCTTTGCAAATCGCCTTTCCTAATAATGTGCTAATTAGCAAGTTTCACGATGAATGCGGCTAAAGTAAACAGTCTCTCTGAGAGCAGTTCCGGAGAGAGGGGTGGGGTCAGCAGAGCTCATTAACATTTAAAGGAAAATGCTACAAAAATGGCTTGATCTGAAAAGAGTAAACTGGGTAAAAAGGGTGCATTTTTAACCAAACTATGTTGCAGACTTTTCATTAAGGCCCTAAAGAATCATATCAACTTGTGGGAAATGGGCATCCTATAACCCCTTTAAAAAAATCATATTTACATTACTGGTAGGTTATCATTGCACAAATTAACACACTCTCTGCGCTTAAAAGTAAAAATAAAAATTAGAAGAGTTCTAAACTAATGCACTGTCTTCTGTATCTAATGCACACACACGCTCAGTCACTCACACAGATCACGTTGCGGCCGCACTCAGACAATCAGGAACAAACTTTTTATCGCTGCCCCGTAATTTGATCAACTAAATATCTTAATCGCTCAAAAGCTACATTATCTTTCTCAACAAGGAGCTGGTAACATCATTGTTTCTAAAGGAATTAAAGCCACAGCTTCACTGTTAATAGAGAAACGCAGCAAAACGGTGGTAATTCATACATACACAGCCTCTCTCTCTCTCTCTCATAGATGAACACTTGATGAATTACACTTTTCTGAGAATAGAATATTGAAGTGGAGATCACTAAACTGCAAGCTAAGTGTTTTCATAAAGTAAGCACGTTTATCCACAGTGAAGAGAGAGCACGTACACGTGGTTGCCAGGTTGACAGAGATAAGTAACACACAGCAGATATTTCCGTATTGTGCAAGTGGGAAGCTCTGTTTCGGGGGGGTAACGTCTCTTTACGTCAGGCAACCCAGTTGTGTTCCTCTGTCCAGATTAATCCTTGTAGCCTATATATTATGTTCTATTCATTATTTTTTAGAAATTACTACATACTCAATTTTAAACTGTGTTCTTGTATTCAAATTAAGCGCGGTCCACTGTTGCACACGTGCCACAATATTGATACAGGGTCAGCTGTATCGATACTCGTATCGTCACATTTTTGTGACGATACATCGTCATACCGATGTATCAAACACAGCACTAAAAATAATGTAGTTTTGTGACTGCGAATAAGTGCAGTGTCCCGTGAGAGTAACTCTACCGCTGAGTTAACATTGATGTGAATGTATATTGCATTGTACAGTATATTGAGACTGAGGCGCCAGAGCTGTAGCTGATAGAATGTGCACTGTAGCACGATACTACGATATTTCTTCAAAAGCAGATCGTTCACGATCAAAAATCGTCATATCACACACGCCTATTGTAGTGTATTATTAACAGCTTTCCCACCCTTGAAAAACACAGACTGACACTACTTGAAAGTTCTGTAAAAGATCTTAAAATCTGTACGAACACTGTGTCCAGCTAGTTCTTGATTTCTGATAACTGTTCTTGTTAATCGGAGTCTGCAACTTTTAAAACCCATGTTTTATTATATGTAAGGATGGGGTCTTCATAGACAAAATGAGAAAATGAGAACCACTGGTCTACACAGAGGAACAACCCATCCTCAGGTTTCATTGATGTATGCAGTCACTCTGGGCAGATATTTACACTGCCGTGATTATTCAGTGCCGCTCAGAGATAGATCAGATATATGGATGGAGATGCCGTTATTGGATCGGCTCTTACATGTTTATAAGGGAGAGACGATATATGAGAACTGCAGTGGATCATCACCCAGCGGCTGGTGGTGGAGAATGGGCTGCTTTATGCATGGAGCCATCAGGAAGCTCTCTGAACTCCTTCGATTGATATAACTGAGCTTGTAGGAGGAGGCTTAATGTTTTTAGAGTTTTTCTGACTAAACGTTGTTATGCATGTCCCACCTTAATGCACCAGAGCAAAAGGACCTCCAACATTTGTTTCCCCTTCTACATAGGCATCTACCTTCTTAGTCAGCATCCAGATCGAAATGGAACCTCATATATGACTGTCACTCATGCACACCTCACAAATAGCACTTTTCAAGTCAGGTAAAGCCCAAAGTATACTTTGATACAGTGTTTGACATAATTTCATCATCGAAACAGTAGATTCATTATGTATGTGCGCAGTCTGAATTTTCAAATTTTACATACTAAGTATGCTCAGCTCTAAAGAAGCTTTAGCTTCAGCTCTAAAGTAAAACTTTATTTTAAAGGAGTAAATTTGTTCATAACTTGTGGTGAGAAATGCTGCAGATACTGGACAAATAAAACTTTATTGTAGGGCGTGGTGATACCGTTAAAAATGTAATTGATGAATTTTTAAAATTCAGAGTGTTTTTTTTTTGGAAACAAAGCAAGTTATTTGAAGAACAAAGAAATGCATTAAGACCAAAGAAACATAGAACAAGTAGCTTGCAATTTCATGCCAAGACTTAATGGGATAGTTCACCCAAAAAATTTAAATTCTATCATTGTTTACCCCCTTCAACTTGTTCCAGACTTGTATTAGTTTCTTTCTTCTGCTGAGAACAAAATAATGTATTTTGAAGAATGATGTTAACCAAACAGTTGACAGTAGCGACTGACTTACATAGTAATTTTTTGTGCTCAACAGGAAAAAAAAGAGAACTCTACAGGTTTGAAACAACTTGAGGATGAGTAAATGATGACAGAATTTTAATTTTTGAGTGAGTTATCCCTGTTAGGTTTTGTCCTGTCCATTTCCATTATTCCATGGCTATTAGCATGAGAAATAAAAAAGCCAGAAAAATCACTTCCTTCATAACATTTGTTAACATAATAACATACATTTGTTTGTACTTTGTTGGTATACTTGTGATTTACACAATATTCCCTATTTTAATAATAGAAATGTGTTTGTACTTGTGTAGTCAAAACAAGAGCCCGGCCGATATGGGTTTTTTGGGGCCGATGCTGATACCGATATTAGTGGGTAAAAAAAGACATATCTATATATCGGCCGATATTCTTTATGGCTGTATTATAGTACAGTATAGTCAAAAGTTTGGGCACACTTCCCATTCGTGTGTCCAAACTTTTGACTGGTACTGTATATAGAATACAGTATATAGCCTACATAAACAGAATATATATAATTTTTTTGCAATAACTCAAATGTGGTGATCAAACACTTATAATGACACTTATAATGATGATCTTCACTTCCTTCCCCTAAACGGTTAGCATCTTTTGATGATAACAGTGCTACTGATACTTTCTGCTCCACTCTTACATCTTGTTTAGACACTGTCTGCCCCTTGTCTTCCAGACCAGCCTGTACCACCCCTTCTGCCCCTTGGTTATCTGATGTTCTCCTCGAACATCGTTCTAAGCTAAAAGGGTGTCATGTAAATCCAAATATCCTACTGACCTTAATGTGTATCAGTCACTCCTCTCTTCCTTCTCTGCTAATGTCTCCACTGATAAAAAAGAAAATACTACTTTAACAAAATTAACAATTTGTCTAACTCTCGCATGCTCTATAAAACATTTTCCTCGCTCCTTTGTCCTCCTCCTCCCCCTCCTTCATCAACTCTAATGCTGCCTTGACGTGTTATTCACTCCTCTCTTCCTTCTCTGCTAATGTCTCCACTGATAAAAAAGAAAATACTACTTTAACAAAATTAACAATTTGTCTAACTCTCGCATGCTCTATAAAACATTTTCCTCGCTCCTTTGTCCTCCTCCTTCTCCTCCCCCTCTTGCATCAACTCTAATAGCTGACGACTTTGCAATATTTTTCATTGATACAATTAAAAACATCAGTGCACAATTTTCCACACCACAATCTGTCAAGCACATCTTACCAGCAAACATACACGCATCCTTCTCTTCACTCTCTGAGGCAGAAGTCTCCAAACTCATCCTTTCTAATCATCCTACTACTTGTCCGCTTGATCCTATTCCATCTCATCTCCTTCAAGCCATTTATCCTGTAGTTGTACCTGCACTCACTCACATCATTAACCTATCCCTTCACACTGGTGTTTTTCCCTCAACATTTAGACAGGCTCATATAACCCCACTACTTAAGAAACCCACCCTTAACCCATCTCTTTTAGAGAACTACAGACCGGTTTCCCTTCTTCCTTTCATTGCAAAAACACTTGAACGAGCTGTGTTCAACCAAGTCTCTGCCTTTCTCACACAGACATGGCATCATTAGGTTCTGTCATTCAGAAACATGGCTTTTCATACCACTGCTATACTAATTACACAACTCTACCTATCGCTCCATCCTGATGATCCGACGATAGTTGTTCGCATCTCAGCTTGTCTAACAGACATTTCTTGCTAGATGAAGGACCATCACCTTCAACTCAACCTTGCCAAGACAGAACTGCTTGTGGTTCCAGCAAACCCATTGTTTCATCACAATTTCACCATCCAGTTAGGCACATCAACCATAACTCCTTCAAAAACAGCCAGAAACCTTGGATGTATGATTGATGATCAGCTTACTTTCTCAGACCGCATTGCTAAAACTGCATATTTGCTTTATTCAACATCAAGAAGATCAGGCCCTTTCTTTCGGAACATGCTTCCCAACTCCTTGTTCGAGCTCTTGTTCTGTCCAGGCTGGAGTATTGCAATGCTCTCTTAGCAAGTCTTCCAGCAAGTTCTATCAAACCTTTACAATTAATCCAGAATGCGGCAGCAAGATTCATTTTTAATGAACCAAAAACAATGCACATCACACTTCTGTTTATCAATTTGCACTGGTTACCAATAGCTGCTCGCATAAAATCCAAGGCATTGATGTTTGCCTACAAAACCACCACTGGCTCTGCACCCCTTTACCTAAATTCATTACTTCAGACTTATGTGCCCTCTAGAAGCTTGCGTTCTGCAAGTGAACGTCGCTTTATTGTGCCATCCCAAAGAAGCACAAAATCACTTTTACGGACTTTTAAATTAAATGTTCCCGCCTGTTGGAATGACCTGCCCAACTCAATCCGAGCAGCTGAATCCTTAGCCATCTTCAAGAATCGGCTAAAAACACATCTCTTCCATCTATATTTGACCCTCTAACTCTAGCACTCTCTATTCTAATGCTATTCTTTAAAAAAAACAATTGTCCCCTTTAGACTTGCACTCTATTCATTTGCTGCTTGTTTTCTTTAAAACTAGTAAAAAAAAAAAAAAAAAAAGCACATGCTTTCTAATCTTTTTGTATTCCATCTTTTTTTTTTTTTCATTTATTATACAATTAACCTTTTAGGCGCCAGGGATTTTTGGAAAAATGCTGGATTTTAACATCAAGATTTCAAAAGCTTGTGGCTTGAAAGGGCTTAAAGATAGAGATCTAATGTAAATTAGAAAAATGTTGGGCATGACCGAAAGTTTATGTGGGGTGTAAATATACTCGTCTAATTTGCATATTATGATGTCATTAGGGGGCGGCCATCTTGAATTTCATAATATTCAGGAAATAGTAGATATTGAATTGATGCTTGAACTTATTTGCATGTTTTTTTTTTGTTTTTTTTTGTCTTTTTATCCTCATTCCAAATGATCAGAAAAGAGGAAACCAACAATAAAACAGGAGAAAGTACTAAATGATTACTATATTACTATACTATATAGTAGTAAAACGCATGTGAACAGTTGCCTATTTTTTGATCAGTTCATCAGTAATATTCAGGAAATAGTAGATATTGAATTGATGCTTGAACTTATTTGCATGTTTTTTTTTTGTTTTTTTTTGTCTTTTTATCCTCATTCCAAATGATCAGGAAAAGAGGAAATCAACAATAAAACAGCAGAAAGTAGTAAATTATTACTATGTTACTGTGCCATAGTAAAATGCATGTGCCTATTTTCTGATCAGTTGACCAGCTATCTGCCCAATCAGGTATCTAGGTGACACAGTTTATAGTTCTTGAGAGTATGGTACCTCTCATTGCATGGCACAGTGCACAGACCTACCCCACACTGACTGCACCGTGTACCGTGGCCACTCCCACCTCTTTGGGGCACTGGATCCAGGGCGCTCTGACTGGATCCAAAGAGCTAGTGCTACTTCCAGCCCTATTTCTCCTACCCCTGCTGCCTCGACCTCTAGCAACAGCTCTCCTATGGACACAACGACTACGTTCACTGCTGCCACCCCCATCCCCGTTGGGCAAAGGGTCGAAATTATCACTTGTTTGTGCTTCGTGAACACTCTCGCCTTGCACGGCATCACCATTGCACTGCAAAAGATGTACCGGGAGAAGCGCGATTATTAGACGACCGATCGTCATTTCCAAAAGGCAAATATTCCCCTTCAGAGTCAGAATCGGCGAATAACATTTGCAACACATCCTCACGGTACAACTTTTTATTAGCCATTTTCTCTCACAATGTACTCGCACGCTATGAACTGAACTGCTTCCGCATCAATGACATGACAGCTCACTTGCTCTGCTATTTCCTCGAACACTTTGAATAAGAACGTGACGTAATTTTGGTCTAGAATCGAAGTACTACATGTCTGCCATCAAGTGATAGGGAATACAAATGAGATATTACACCCTATTAGGAACTGCAGTCTATTTTATTAAGTATGACGTCTTGTCGCAATTTTACTCCTGGTGGAATGACCTGCCCAACTCAATCCGAGCAGCTGAATCCTTAGCCATCTTCAAGAATTGGCTAAAAACACATCTGTTCCATCTTTATTTGACTTTCTAACTCTAGCACTTTTTGTTCTATTTTAAATCTACTTTATCTATCTTTTTTTATTGAAAAAATAAAAAACACTGGCTTTCTATTTTTCTATTCTATCTACTTGTTTTTCTTTGTGTGTGTGTGTGTGTATGTGTGTGTGTGTGTGTATATATATGTATGTGTGTGTGTGTATATATATATATATATATATCTTGCTACGTGTACTGCTTTAAGCTAACCGAGACTTGTCATTTGCACTTACATATTGTTGCTCTTTTGTTAGATTTGATTGCTTCTATTGTCCTCATTTGTAAGTCGCTTTGGATAAAAGTGTCTGCTAAATGACTAATTGTAAATGTAGTCTGAGTGACAGTAATCTGTCAGACAGACTTACTCAGATGAGTGCTGACTGGAGCAACATCACGGTCTCACATGGAGAGACCTTAATGCCATTCAATGAGATCACCGTGGTGATTTGTTGCTAAGCAGTCACAGGGCTTCCTGCGTCAACATGGCTACACTTAAAGTAGAGCTCACTGGCCTGGTAACCCACGTAAAGCCAATCCTACCCTAAACATGCATTTCCTGTGCCTTTACGAAGATGTTTTTTAGTATTAAATATAAATATTATTATGTTTTGTTTGTGCCTGTTTAAGCCCTGCAAAGTTTGATCCATTGAATTGAAGATTAATTTTTTTATTTAAATACTCATGTTTTATTTACTATTATTACACGTTTCTCTGAAATACTTGATTCTGATTGGTCATTTGCAACAATGTTGTTATCTGTCCCCGATTACAACACTGAATAAGATATCGCTCATCTGGGTATTTCTTTCATATCTCTCATGTCACACCACCACACACTCTCTAGTTTTATTCAAATGCAACTGCTATCATCTTGCACTTCAGTAATCGACTGTATTTACTGTAAAATGAAACCAGAGAACTTCAATATTAATAGTAGGCATGCGGTAATAGTTGAAGTTTGTCTTGTTGCCAGAACGATTGTTTTGTATATTGTACTGGCTTTGTACGGTGACCCAGTAGTGGACAACACAACGGAATTTCCACAACATAACGAAATCGACACAATGCATAGGACTAATTTTGTTGTGTTGTGGCTTGTTTCCGTTGTGTTGTGCTAATTTAATTGTGTTGTAACTTGTTTCCGTTACGTTGTGACTTGTTTCCTTGTGTTGTGGCTTGTTTCCGTTGTGTTGTGACTTGTTTTCTTGTGTTGTGGCAAATTTTATTGTTTTGTGGCTTGTTTCTGTTGTGTTGTGGATTTCATTGTGTTGTGCACTACTGGGCCACCATTAGTCTCACATAGCCAGACTTTCAGACTGACGGCAGAATGTCTGGGAACCTTGGCCGCTTTGAATGGTCAAGGCCTGCCAAAGAGGCCATATGACTGATAGGTAAAGCATCTAGTCACGTTTAGTTTTGTGCTGTGTGATGTTTATGGGCATGGAAATGTCCGCACAATAACAGACTGGTGTGTAAAACTCTTGGACGCTTTTTAAAAAGTCTGTGGCACAAACTTTACATATTTTATATACTTTAGAAAATCTAGTGTTTAGTTCATCCCGACTCACTGTCTCACTGTCACAGTTGTAAACACGACAGCTTTGTTCTTCAATGAGGGGGTTTGGCGCCGCGGTATCTTTGTTTCCAGGCGGAACGTTAAATAGCGCGACATGCACATTTCCCAGAAATTCTGTAGAAATTCAACCAATCTGATGATGACTTCAAAACTTCTGAAAAGTGTGCCGTATACATCAGACCTTCAGCCAATGGTCCATGGGCGTGACGTCTGAGGCGAAGACTAGGTCACCGTAGCTTTGAGATAATAAACCGGTAATGCTTTAAAATGCAATTCATATCAATATTTAATGTGTATTGATTTACTTATGTGCCAAGTAGCCGTGTAATAAGTGGGATAACTTACATCCAGCCAGGTGTTGTCACAGAATAAACCCCTGAAGGGTAATGCCAACCCTACAATAACAACTGGCTGGATGTATATTTATTATCCTTTATATATTTTTATATATATTGTAAAACCCTTCTAGGGCTGGCTAAAATACCAAACTTTATTTTAAATGATTTGATGGTCAAATATTTTTCTTTGTAATTAATTATTTTATTATTATTAATTTTCTTTACAGTTGATGCATCTTGTACTAGTGTATCTCCTGTTCTGCTGATGTTACAGAGTTGGTGCTGAATTCTAGCAGCGACCCTGCACACAGACACACTATCCACCGCCTCTGTCACTCATTGTATCAGTTTTATGGGCTTGCACTATACAAATGGGAAAGAATGTTCTAAATTCCATGACTGTGTGCCCCTCTCACTGAAATTAAATTGTCCTTGTGAGTAACCTTTTCCAGGCAGTTCTGTGCACTTTTTCCAAAGCCCAGTGCTATACAGTACAGTTTTGTCAAGTTAACCAATTCAGTTTGGTTGTATAATATATTCTCTAAATGTATATTATACTATTTGATTTTATTGTGAGCAATTGGTCACACTTTATTTTAAGGTCCAATTCTTGCTGTTAACAAACCATTAACTGATTTTTTTTTGCCTCAATAAACATCTAATTTGCTGCTTATTAATAGTTAAGGTTAGTAAGGTAGTTGTTCAGTTTAGGTAGTGGGTAGGATTAGAGATGTAGAATATGGTCATGCAGAATATGTGCTTTATAAATACTAATAAATAGCCAATATATTAATAATAGGCATGCTAATAAGCAACTTGTCAAAAGTGAGAATTGGTCCCTATACTGAAGTGTTACCGAACAATTCATCTATATGTTCAAATGATTGAGAATTTGTGCAAAATAATTTAATTGAATGGAATTCAGTGCCAATACAGAAGCGCAGTTCTCACAGTTTGTAGTCTGAGGGTGAAATTTGAAGGTAAATTTTGAGGTTTTGTTACAGTGACCCTGTTTCTCATATTGGTGTTTGTGTCATCACAGGGCTCCAGAGATCATTCTTGGCCTGCCTTTTTGGGAAGCCATAGACATGTGGTCGCTGGGATGTGTGATTGCTGAGCTCTTCTTGGGATGGCCCCTCTACCCAGGAGCCCTCGAGTTTGACCAGGTAATTCTTTTAACATGATGCATCTTTCTTTTCCAGTCTGGACGAATCTCACAAAACCTGCTCAGAATCAAAACCACTGGTTATATTTGTCATAGACGGGAGTCACTTTCTGTAAGCAGAAATGAGATTTAAATTCTCTCTGCTGCAGGGTGTCAGTCCTGCTTATCAGGAAAGCGAGCGAGTAAACGCATACGCAGTTTGACTAATTCAAATGTCATTAATAATGGCTCACTTCCGTTATTTAGTATGCTTGCATTCACATCATAAGCGAATCGTACCAGAGTTTGCTTGAACCATACCCTAGACCACCCTTTTTAGGCGGAATCTGGTACGGTTTGCAGGTGCGCTCCCGAGTTCAGAAAACAGCATTCACATTATCCAAACGAACTGAACCCTGACATCAAATGAATCCGGCTGAGCACTAAAATTGCTAGTGTGAAAGCCCCCTAAAACAAAAATTGTGATGGACCTCTGTTTGTTGTATGCAAAATACAATTTGCATATTAAAAATTAAAGCAATAAGCCCCAAGAAGCCGTGGTTTACAGTGAATTTATAACAGCTAAGGGGTGTTGTTGGGCACGACGCGAAGCGGAGTGAATGACATAAAAAAAAAATTTACTCTTCCGCTAAACAATGTAGTTCCTCAGAAACGGATGTGGTTGCAACAAAGTGGTTGCCCAGCAACACAGATGTAAACAAAGGTGTATGTTTGTAATTTACATCAGCTTCGAATGCGGCTCAACCAATCAGAATCAAGGACCGGAACTATCCGTTTTATAATATAGATTTTAGATATGTAACACTGTCACACTTTATTTAAGGTCCAATTCTCACTATTAACAAACCATTAACTACAACATTTACCTCAATAAACTCCTAATTTGCTGCTTATTAATAAGTGAGGGGCACATTTTTTGAATTTTTTCAGTTGGCAGTGAGCATTCTGCACGCTGTTTATGCACCGTGTGCCCTGCGTTTTCGCCGCCTGCTGCGCCTCGCGTTTTTGCAGGAGTTCTCTGACCACCTGAAGTTGAAAAAAAAGCAACTCTGCCGGGAACCAGCAAACATTCAAACAAAATTTTAATAATAAAATAGATACAAAATTAATAAGTGAGGGGCGCATTTTTTGAATTTTTTCAGTTGGCAGTGAGCATTCTGCACGCTGTTTATGCACCGTGTGCCCTGCGTTTTCGCCGCCTGCTGCGCCTCGCGCTTTTGCAGGAGTTCTCTGACCACCTGAAGTTGAAAAAAAAGCAACTCTGCCGGGAACCAGCAAACATTCAAACAAAATTTTAATAATAAAATAGATACAAAATGGCGCGACAGCCCCTCACAGACGACTGCCGCGCACAAAGTAAAATCCAGACCTGGTCCTCTCTCATCCAACACTGTCGTCACTCCTCCTTTTATCCTTCCGGAGCTCCTCCGTGGGACTCGAGATCGGTGAGTGGCGCAGGTGTCGCGCATTAGCATTTACTCCACCGGCCTCGCTCCTTTCCCACGGCTCTCGGCCCCGCCCCTCTCATCACATACCCCCATCGCCCCTCGCAGGCCGGGGGGTACTCACGAGACTGCGCTCTACTCCCCCCTTCCCCTCCGGGGGAGCCGATCACGGCGGCCGCGGCGTACCTGGGGGTAAGGACAGAAAGACGAGGCGAGAGAAAAGGAGACGGAAGGATGAAGAGAGACAGAGATGAGAGAGGGGAGAGAGGAAAAAAAAAAATCTTGTTCCTGTTCCCAGACACACTGCCATTTGGCCCTCTCTGAGCGCCTGAAGTTGGAAAAAAAGCAACTCTGAGCAGAAAAAGTGCCCAACGTCATTCGCGTTTTTTCCATTGTCAAATCGAATGAACGGAGAGGCAGGCCTTCTGTTGTGATGACGAAAGTTTACCATTGCTTAGAAAGTCCGGAGACTACTATGTTGGAGGAGAAACATTTGGTGTCTGGTGCGGGTTACCCGGGGCTGTATTTTTTTTGGATTTAGGTTAATATGACCGTTTACTTAACAGCCAAAACCAAATATTTTAGTGCGCTTGCGCTATAATCCTTTGATTAGATTGACAAGGACAGCTGATTTGGTGGTTGCCTAGCAACAAAAAAACTCAGCGCACTGCTCTTTTTTTTTTTTTTTTTAAGTCACCAAAAAAATGGCAGTGCCGTGCGCCTCACGTTTTCAGACCTAAAAAACGCGTTTGGTGTGATCGGGGCCATAAACAGCCATTATGTTAATAATAAGCATGGTAATAAGCAACTGGTTAATAGTGAGAATTTGTCCCAGTACTAAAGTGTTACCGTTAATAATTTTGGGTTGAAATGTGACCTAGACATGGTTTCATGAGATTCGCCATATTTATCCATATCTGTTTGTGTCTTTCAAATCTTGTTTTATAATCTCTTTGATACACACTCACTCACTCACTCCCTCTCTCTCCCTCTCTCTCTCTCTCTCTCTCTCTCTCTCTCTCTCTCTCTCTCACATACACACACACACACACACACACACACTAAATGTTTCTTCTTGATCACGAGTTCTCCATATTTCTCCTCCTCTTGACGTAATCTGTTTAGCACAGGGACGTGGTATGTGCTGTCAGGCCCAAACAATATCCAGAAGAATTTTCACGGCCGCTTCTTAGCATTTGTGTTGGCGTACAAGTGTCAGCGTGTGGGTGTTTGTTGTGTGCACTCATGCTGCGTCTGTCTGAGCGCGCATGGTTTATGATCTGAACGTTTTCTAGTTTTCGGGCCATACTCCCCCTGCTGCTGGGCCCCTGAATGTCCCGGGGTGAAACTGAGATGAGGGGGCATTACCAAATCTCTGTGTGTCTGCATGTGTGATAGATACGCAGGAACAAGCCCAGATTAGAACACTGTTTCTGGGGAGGGTTTGGAAGGCAGAGTCCCAGCAGCCACTGACTTGACATAGCGGTTGGCAGCAATAGCAGGGGGTTTGATGGGTTTTCCTCTTCCTTTTGGCTGGGCTGTTAATGCAGCTGGGAGGGGGGTTATGGATCTCAAGATACCAGCGGGTGTCATGAACTGTCAGTCTAAAAACTACATGCCCTTATTGCTCATACATAACCCTGTATTATGTCAGAAAGACCTCTTAAGCCCATTATAATTTGGTCTGCCGGGAATAATTAATCTCCACTAGCTTTAACACAACAACACCTGTGAGAAGAAAAGTCAGAATTTACCCATCTGCTAAAAATTAGTCTTTTTTTTTTCTTTATTTCTCAAGGATAGTGGATCAGAATGTACCCATTCCTGATGAGAGATTCCACTGTCTCTAGTAGGGTTGGGTATCGATTGGGTTTTTTACGATATCGGTTGTAACAATGTTCGTAGGTTGGGAAGAAGGAGGCAGGAACCAACGAACATTCAAACAAAACTTTAATAATAAAATAGACACAAAATGGCGCGACAGCCCCTCACGGACGACTGCCACGCACAAAATAAAAGACCTGGTCCTCTCTCATCCAACACTGTCGTCACTCCTCCTTTTATCCTTCCGGAGCTCCTCCGTGGGACTCGAGGACCGGTGAGTGGCGCAGGTGTCGCGCATTAGCATTTACTCCAACGGCCTCGCTCCGTTCCCACGGCTCTCGGCCCCGCCCCTTTCATCACAAACCTCCATCGCCCCTCGCAGGCTGGGGGGTACCCACGAGACTGTGCTCTCCTCCCCCCCCCCC